TTGGTATGGAACATTTTTTTATTTCTACGAGAACATCAATTAAGATACCTACAGGTTGTCTAACAGAACGATCAGCTAATACTAAGGAAATTTTAGTGGGCTGGAAAGTGTGATGTCCTAAACGTTTTGCTACTGAAAGAGGCATCATGTTTATGCTCGATCCTAAATCACAGAGAGCACGCTCAAAAGCGACATCATTGATGGTGCATGAAAGTACAAAGCTTCCAGGATCATTTTTCTTTTCAGGGATTCGGCTTTGCAGGATAGAACTACATTCATGGGTTATCATCATAACGCCTTCTTCAAGAGTTAAAGAATTTGTTAGAATACCCTTCATGTATTTTCTTAAAGCTGGAATCATAGCACAAGCTTCTACGAAAGGTAATCTCACATTTAATTGATCGATTAATTCTTTCAGCTTAGCTTTTTCTTTCTCTTTCTTAGGGGCTCTTAAGGCTCTAGGATATGGAGGTTTAGGTTTATAGACACGAGTTGGTGGAGGTGGAATCGGGTCTTCTCCAAGGATTTCCCGGGATGTATCTTCTCTTACTTCTTCTCCATCCTTCTCTCCTACCACTTCTTTTTCAATGTCTTCTACCGTGATTCTTTCCCTTTCTTTTTCCTTTTCCTTACCCTCACTACAAGAAATGTGAGTATTAATAGAATCGAAGCTTCATTGTCGATCGAATGAAAAAGGTTTGTTCTCACTCGATTCACTCTTATGATTTGGGGGTTCATCGATTTTTATCTTGTTTGGTTGCATGTTGGGTTCTGTCGAAAAGTTAGTTTGATTTCGAGTTGTATATATATTAAGGAGAAGATTTTGATTTTTTGGGTTTTGAATCTTTTATCTTGTTGGAGTTTTTGATTATTTAGTTTGGATTGAGTTTGAGTTTCATTTTGTGTATTCATCCATTTCAGATATGGTAAAGACAAGAGGAGGATCACAAGTTGCTTCCCGTCGTAGTCGACGTAATCAAGGCTTGGAGGCCACACCTGCAACAACACTGAAGGTGAAGAGAGGAAAAAAGGTTGCTAAGAAAAGCAATGGTGGTAGAAAAAAGAAAGTGCCATGTGAAGAGGTAGAAGATCCTACGCCTATTAGCTTGTCAGCTTCCAATGGGGAAGATGATTATAATGAGGAGTCCGAAGATGAAGTTTCTAAGAAAGAAGTTCATGACAAAGCAGTTTCAGAGGAACAAGAGTCTAATCATCAAGCTCCTGAGTTAGAAGTTTCTGAGAAGGAAGCAGAAGATGGTTTGAATCCTGGACAGGAACATAATGAAAATGAAGAAGCTGTCGATATGGAACAAGATGGAGTTACCAATGGTAACACTCAAGAAAAAGATGCGGACCAACAAAGAGAAGATGTAGTGAAGGAAAAAAAGAGAAGAGGACCAACAAAGATGCGGAAGGTGGCTGAAAATCCTCAAGAAAAGGTTGAAGTTACATTCACTGAGTGTGGTGATCATGTTGGACCTGGTTCAGTAACACTATCATCTTTTCTTGGTCCTCTTGTGAGGGAACACGTTCCGGTTACTCTTAGTGATTGGAGACAACTTGATCCAGTGACAAGAGACACAATGTGGGAGGAAATTCAGGTATATTTGCATATTACGTTTTGTTAATAACTATATATGAAATTGTAAACATGTTTGACCTCTGCAAATTATGTTGCAGGGGAGGTTTAACGTGCATGAAGAGTGGCAGAAAGCTGTTATTATAAAGCAGTTAGGAAGTTTGTGGAGGGCTGGGAAGTCAAGGCTAGTGACAGAAGTACGAGCTGCGAAGACTGCTGCTGAGAGAATAGCTTTAAAACCCAGCAACATCCCATCCATTCAAGTATGGAACTCTTGGGTTAGGAGCAAGTGTAGCACAAATTTCAACGTTAGTTAGCCATCTTTAAATAAGACACTCTCTTGTTTACATGTAATATTGTCTTATAGATTTAAACTGATTCAGATTTATATTGTAGGTAATAAGTGACAAGTACAGAGAGCTGAGAAGAAATCAGATTCCTCACACCACCAGTCGCAAAGGAATGCTTCGATTAGCTCATGATATGGTAAAATAGTTACTCAAACATCTATATTATTAATTACTTTGAATTAAAATGGTACTAACATATGTCTGTATTTTATATAGAAAAAAAAGAGTAATGACCCAAGGAAGGTAACGAGGAGTAAGATATGGATTGCGGGACACACTCATGGTGATGGTAGACCTGTGAAGCCTCAATTTGCTGAGACTATTGTAAGAATTCTTGAACTTGAGATATTGTGTACAATTAATGGATTATGATCATTGAGTTAACATCTGGACATATATCTGTATCAGGAACAAATACGGTCACTTGATAGTCAAATGGACTCCACATCAGCTTCTGAAAATATCAGGGAAGATGCTGTGAGCAAGGTTTTGGGAAAAGACAAACCTGGCCGAGTAAGGGGGTTTGGCAGAGGGATTACAGCTACTAAGTTAGCGTTTCTGCATTCTTGAGACGCAAAGATTGCTGATATGGAAAGTGAGATTAGACAGTTAAAAGGAATGGTCAACGAGTTAGCTGCGAAGAAGGTAATTATGTATTTTCATATGTCAGTTGGTTAACTAGTATTATGACATTTACTAATTCACTTTCCTTCTTTCAGAAAAGTAATGGTGATCCTGAAACATCTGCGAGTAGTGGGTATTTGAAAGAAGGAGTGAGAGTAGAAATACTGGACTGGTTTGAGTCAACAGATGTTGTTGTTGGTGTTGGAGAATTCTACACTGCTGAACCGATGTACAAAATTGGTCGTGTACCAATTGGTCCCAATGCAGTGGCCACTGTTGTCAAGTCTGCAGTAAACCCAGAAGCTTCTCTTTGGAGGCCTACAGTAGATATGTCATCTCTTCAGCAAGCTGTGGGATGCAAAATAGCTTGGCCAATAGACAAAGTCATTTTAGACAGGGCTCCAAACTCTTCTGTCGATGTATCCAGGGTAAGTCGTTTGTAATTTTGGTTTGTAAATCTTGGTTTGTAGTTCCTTTCCATATCTCTAATCATTAGCTTTTTACATTTTAGCAAACCGATGAAGATGATATTCGAAGATGCAAAATATTTGATTGGACTAATGAAGAGGAGGAGGTTATTGGTGAAAGAATCATGTGCTCAACTAATTCAAAAGAGATGGTTAACAATATACCTCTAGGTCCGAATGCTGTTAGTATTGAAGTTGTGAAGGTGTATAAAAATGATGCATATTTGTGGAGGCCAACCGCTGATAAGTTCTTGATTGGTGATGCAATTAACGAGAAAATTGCATGGCCAGTTCTGAAGGTTGAAATCATGTCTGCAGATGCAACACCTACAAAAACAGCTGAGCTAAAAGGATCTGAGCCAAAAGCAGTGGTATGCGATTTATTTGAAGTTTCTTTATTTGTTTGTCTGTTGTATTGATGTTGGTACTTGATTCTATTGTATTGATGTTGATACTTGATTCTATTTTCTGGTTTGAATTGTAGAGTCCAGGCAGCAATAGTTCTACCAAAAGTGCATAGAGTAAGTGTTTTCTGTTAGACTGCAACAACTCTGGACGAAAGGTAGCTGAAGGAAGAGTATCTTCAACGGATCCGAACGATGTGTGCCACTTTGTACCCTTAGGTCCAAATGCAAGCAAGGTTTGGGTTGAAGTGGCTAAGATTGGTACTGCAAAGGTCTGGAGACCAACTTCAGAGATTGAATACATTTCTGATGCGATAGGTTCAACTGTGGCATGGCCAAATGACAAAATATTGTTCATTTGAAACTTAAGATTGTGTAATAGTCTTATATGCTGGTCCGGTTTGATTGCTCCGGTTATGGTTTACGTTTAATTAAAACTTGATGTATTTTGTATTTTGTGTAATAGTCTGATACTTATGTTATATTATGTGATATTAGCACTAATATGTGGTATTTGAAATTTTCAATTTTGAAATTAAAAGATATAAGAAGTAATATGATAATAAATTACTGAAATTATTTCAAAATTTCTATACCCTAATCCCTAAATTGATTTTATTCAAAATTTCTATACCCTAATCCCTAAATTGATTTTATTCAAGATTTCTATACCCTAATCCCTAAATTATTTACAATTAATTACCTGAAATTATTTAAAAATACATATACCCTAATCCCTAAATGATTTTAAAATAAACCAATACTCTAAGTCTAAAATTAATTAATTTTCGAATTATATGAAATTATACCATAAAAGCTAAACCATATTCTATACCCTAAAGTGGTAGACTCTTAAACCCTAAACCATGCTAACTTTATACCTAAAATTAATTATTGGATTATATGAATTGATACTCTAAGTGTTTGATTAAACATAAAACATACTAAAAACTTCTTTGTACATATTACAACTAAGTGTTTGACTTAATACTATACCCTAAAGTGTTTAAGTAGACTATATACCCTAAAGTAGGATACAAACAAGTGTTTGTATTATTTAATTTGAAATATGAATACAAAATATAAGAAATAATTTTCGAATATTTTTAAACTGATTTTTATAAATTTTCAAAAAAAAATTGGATTATATACGTATTTTTAATACCATAAACCTATTTTAAAACTAAAAAAATGGAATAAACAGATTGACCAATGAATAAATTATACGCAGATCGCAGACGTGGCCTTTACTTCACCGTTGGATATGTCTCTCCACCTTTGCATCTCTAATCTGAGCCGTCCTTTACTGATGAATGCGTTTAACCGGGAAAAGGTGAATTTCCGAAAAAATTTAGATTGAGATGAAAAATTTAGCTCTACCACAATCTTTGGCGCCGACAAAAAAAAAGAACACAATCTCTACCACAATCTTTCGCAACACAATCTCTCGATATCTCGATCTCTCCTTATCCCTAATACAATCTCTAACACAATTCTTCTTAACATGATAACACATTCTTCGTAACACCATCTCTTATCAGACGAACTGAAATATCTCGATCTCAGTCGTTTTCATATGGACAAGGCATGGGTTTTCCTGCCAAGGTTTGATCTTCTTAACACAATCTCTCAATCTTATACTTGTATTTCCCAATTTATCTTGTTAGGCTAACTTCTATTTCCCGATTTACCATGTAGGAATACTCTTGAGTACTCAGAAGGAGTGACTAATTTCGTGAATTCATCAGCAAGAAGATTAGGTAATCTGTCTGAAATGCTATGCCCCTGTAGAGATTGCCGCAATTTAAGCCATCAGTTATTAGAGAAGATTGTTGAGCATCTAGTGATTAGGGGTATGGATATGAAGTATAAGAGTTCTTGTTGGAGTATTCATGGTGAGAAAAGAGATTGTACGGAAGATATTGCTCCTGGATCTGAAACTGAGGCTTTTGATTTGTTGAAGACAGCATTTTGTATAGGTGAAGGTAATCCGAATGACAATGGGGAACCAAATGAGGAGGATGAAGCTCTAGAAGAAACTGAATTCAGGACGAAGTTAAGAGAAGCTGAAACTCCATTGTACTCTACTTGTGTGAAATACACAAAGGTGGCAGCAATCATGGGACTCTACAGAATCAAAGTTAAGAGTGGTTTGTCTGAGAACTACTTTGATCAGCTGTTGGTTTTAATTCAAGATATGCTACCTGAAGACAATGTGCTTCCGAAGAGTACAGACGCAATCAAAAAGTTTCTGAAGGTCTTTGGTTTTGGGTACGAGAATATTCATGCTTGTAGGAATGATTGCATATTATATAGGAAGGAGTTTGAAAAGCTAGAAAGCTGTCCAAGGTGCAAAGTTTCAAGATGGGAGAAAGATAAGCACAGTAATGAGATGAAGATAGGGATTCCAGCAAAGATCCTTAGATATTTTCCAATCAAGGACAGATTTAGGAGGATGTTTAGATCAAAAAGGATGGCTGAGCATTTGCGTTGGCATTCAACAAATGCAACTGAAGATGGTACAATGCGACATCCTGTTGATTCTATATCTTGGGCACAAGTGAATGACAGATGGCCTGACTTTGCTGCCGAACCAAGGAACCTTAGACTTGGACTTTGTACAGACGGGATGAACCCTTTCTCTATGCAAAACACCAATCACAGCACATGGCCAGTATTGTTGGTCAACTATAACACGCCTCCAACAATGTGTATGCAGGCTGAGAATATAATGTTAACTTTGTTGATCCCTGGTCCATCAGCTCCTGGTAATAACATAGATGTCTACTTAGCACCTTTGATTGAAGATTTACAAGATTTGTGGTCTGAGGGTATTGAAGTGTATGACTCATTTGCGAAGGAGAACTTCACACTTAGAGCCATACTACTTTGGAGTATCAGTGACTATCCAGCCTTGGGAGTATTGTCTGGAAGTAAAGTCAAGGGGAAACAAGCTTGCATCGTCTGTGGAAAGGATACTCCTTCTATGTGGCTTAACTTTAGCCGTAAGTATGTATACATGGGAAATAGAAAGAGACTACCGCCTGGCCATCCTTACAGATTTAAAAAAGGGTGGTTTGACAACACTGTTGAAGTTGGGAGAGCTAATAGGATACAAACAGGTGCTGAAATTTATGAGACAGTAAAGGCGTTTAGGAATGATTTTGGAAGACCTCTAGACAAGGAAAAAAAAAGAAAAAGAACAGATTTGGAAGATGATGAGCTGGTTGAAGAAGATGAGTGTGAAGAATCAAATGATCTATGGCGGTGGAAGAAGAGATCAATATTCTTTGAACTACCTTACTGGAAGGTAAAGTAACTTAACTAAACAATATTCTCAGTTTCTTGTATACGTATATGCCTAACAGTTTATTGTTTAATGTCTTAGGAATTGCCTGTGCGTCACAATATTGATATGATGCACGTAGAAAAAAATGTCTCGGATGCTATATTGTCTATCTTGATGCAAACTGCCAAGTCGAAAGATGGTTTGAAAGCAAGAAAAGACTTAGAAGATATTGGAATCAGAAAGCACTTGCACGCAGAGGTTAGGGGAAAGAAAACATACTTACCTCCAGCAGCCTATTGGTTATCCAAGAAAGAGAAGGCCATTTTTTGCCAAAGGTTATCTAAGTTTAGAGGTCCTGATGGTTATTGTGGTAATATTGCTAACAGTGTTTCAGTTAACCCTCCTAATATAGGAAGTTTGAAGTCGCATGATCATCATGTGCTAGTACAAAACTTGTTACCAGCTGCGTTAAGAGGTTTGTTACGTAGAGGACCTAGGATTGCTATTACCAGATTATGCAATTACTTTAACAGATTGTGCCAGCATATCATTGACCCGGAGAAACTCATAACAATGGAGTCTGAGTTTGTGGAAACAATGTGTCAACTGGAGCGGTTCTTCCCTCCATCCTTGTTTGATATCATGTTCCACCTTCCAATACATCTATCAAAAGAGGCACGTTTAGGAGGACCAGTCCACTTCCGCTGGATGTATCCCTTTGAAAGGTTTGATGTACTCAATTACTTTACTATATGAAATTCATGCAATAATGTTAGTCTAATATGCATATGCGCGTAAAAATATTAAGTAAAATCCGAAAAAAAATCCGTGCTGATCCATTGAGTGTTAACAGGTTGCATTGGCCTATGGATATTTATCTGAAGAATGCATTGCATTAATTGATAACTAAGAGTTTTGAGGCTCTTAGATGGGTTATCAATCCCCTTGTCAAAGTAGTATAAGGGGTGTCAATCCATATGTGTGGTAGTTAGGCACTAGTTTATAAGATAAGTTCTTAAGTCAAGCTAATCAAAGACAGGTTTGGTGACAAGTAACAAGTGAAAATATAAACAAGAAACAAACAAGTAATGATTAGTGAACTAAACAATTAAGCCAAACAAGATGATGGTGATTAAGCAAATGGTAAAAGCTAAACCTCTAGATGTGATCATTGATTAGGGTGCTGTAGATATCAATTCATGATGCTAAGAACAATAATGCAATGCAAGTTACTCTTTAGTCTAGACTTCAAAAGCAGATTAATTCATTCCCATGACAATAATCTCTTTGTAAATCACTTAATCAAGATTAATTCACCTTAAGCAAGATCAAGCAATCAACAAGCATAAAGTATCAAGTCTAATAATGACCAAACGGTTTCTATTTCAAAGAGACCGAATCTTACACAGAAAGCAGCAACAAGCAATCACATGATCTCAAAACCAATTAACTTAGAACTCAAATCTAGACTAATCCTCTCATGAAGGCATTAATCTCTACACTAATCCACTTTCAAACCAAATCATCACTTGTGAAATTTGAATCAGTGAGCATTAAGAAACAGTTCTAATATGTCATTCATGCATTTAACAAATCATTCCCATGATGAAAAAGGCATAAACCCTTAGCTTAGCTCATTCAGACATTTCATCAAACACCTTGTGGGTGGAGAAATGACTAAGGTTTAGATCAGAGTGATGTGCAAAGATCTAGCATTAAGAGCAGCTAACTAAGGAAAGGAGATGAGAATCTAGAACCTAAACATCATAAACCGATCATCTAAGCACCCTAATCTACACACCTAGAAGCTTAAAAGATAACTACTCACTAATCATGATTAACACACCATTTCTTTTGCAAGAGGTGGTGTTAATCATGATTAGAAGCAGAGATGAGATGATTAGATGATAAGAAACAGCTTTAAGATGATTAAATCTGCTAGTTATCTCTTGATCAAACTCGTTTTTACACTAAGAAGTAGAGAGAAAACAAAGAGAAAGCAGATTAGAGGATAAGATAAAGCATAACTAGGGTTTTAGTCTCTAAAAACTATTTATATAAAAGGGTGTGGGCCGGGTCAGCCCAGGACAAACTGGGTACTGACCCGCACTTTCTGGGTTGCTGGAGCCACCCCTCGCCATCTGAAGAAGTCTCACACCGAGGGCCATACACCAGGGGGTCATGTGCTGGGTTGAAACTTTGATGAACACTTGAAGAACATGCATGAGACTTGGCATTTGATCCGGTTAAAGCTTTGAAACGTGAAGAGGATTTGTTTGTGATCTGGGTTGGAGAGATGAGGACCTCGGCATACATGCCGAGGTGCCTGGTACCGGAGGTTTGTGTAACATAGGAGCTCGGCATAGCATGCTGAAGGGTTCACACCAAGGTCTGCTTCAACACTTAGTCGTTTGGGGATCATTTTGGTGATCAAGGGAGCCTCGGTGTTGAAAGACCGAAGTCCTACCTCGAGGTATAGTCCCAAGGCTTCGTAAACATGCCTCCTAGGCATAACATGCGGAGGTATTCACGCCGAGGTAGGACACAACACTTAGCTTACAGTCGCATCTCTTAAAACCCGAATTGAGCAGCTTCTCTTCTGTTCAGTGTAACTTTCAGCTCGTAACTCCAAATGACCTGAAACCAGTTCCATGAGAAAGATAACTCATTCAGCTCGATCTTTGGTGAAGAAACTATCGGCGCTTGGGAAGTGGAAGGCTTCCTGGAGGGCTCATCTTCGCAATGCATTTACACGATCAGAGAAAGGCGTCTAGACATGTGTCCATTCTGGAGACGTTAACTTCTTGCTCATAGATCCGAATTGGATGATCTCGGACGTTATGGAAAGAGGACTCAAACATCTCTGATTCTTATGAAGAACCCGGAAACTGAATCTTCCTGGAAGTGCGCCGTCCTTCGCATTCTTCGGAGCTCATCGGGTCGGTCCAAGACGGCAGCGAGACAGGGGTTTCTTCCGAGGAGCTCAACTTTCTGCTCACGCGTCCGAATTCCATTATTCCACTTGCTATGGAACCATGATCCAATCGTCTCCAACTTTGATGAATCCCCCGACAACTGAATCGGACCGGAAGGTTCCCCGGACAGGCGATCATTCAGGAGTATCGGATTGCTCCGGAATGGATGCGAGACCTGTTCGTCTTCCGATTACCATATCTTTAAGCTCCGTGGTCTAAATGCTTTGATTCTAACTGTTCTGAACTCTGGACTCAATTATCTCCAACTTCTATGAAGACTCCGACAGCTGAATCGGCCGGCAAGATCTTCTGGTGATGCGATTTCGGAAATGTATCTACACCCGGGATTTTTGGCCGAGGGACTTGGCCGCGGTACGTGTTTTTGGCCGAGAAAGCTGCCCGCGGGAAGGATTTTGGCCGAGAACCTTCGACCTTCAGTACACCATTTTGCCGAGAAACCCAAAATTGCTCCTTTTCACCATTTTTGATCATTCCAACTCCATTTCTTCATCTGAATCACATCCTCCACTCCAAATTGGCTCCAAAAGCACCTGTTTAACACTCTAAACCATGCAAAACTCTCTTGGACCTAATGCATTCTTCTAAGTCCTAAAACAATGCCTAAAGACCTAAAATGCATGAGATAAGACATGATTTGGACTAAAATATGTACACTAAATGATGCAATTTATGAGTATATCAACTCCCCCACACTTATCCTTTGCTTGTCCTCAAGCAAAAAGAACAAATGAGAGAGAGAGGTTGAATGCATTGGGAGTTCATATTTCCTTTTAGAGAGAAGTGATCACAATGAGAATTCAAGTTCATGCTCAATTATGCAATGCAAAGCCATACTCAGATATATATCAACTCAACAAGAAATCTCCACAAGTTCTCCTCTTTCTCAACTCTTTCACATTCATTAAGCTTTTATCAAGTGAATTAAATGATGCAATGTTTAAACAAGCTGGCTTGGCTAGGGAGAGGCTATGAGATTAAAATGATCTCATCAGTGTTCAAGCGGGTTTAATGCAGCAAAAGGATCTCTCTATGAATGATCAAACTTTGTCAGAATGCTAAAGGTAAAAAGCAACCTATGCATACAAGGGCAAAGACTCATCACACCCCACACTCTACTCAAAGCTTTCTCACTGCTCACTCTCTCAAGAACCTCACTTTTCACACTCATTTTCCTCTCACTAGGGGACTTACTTTTCATTTTCATTCTCAAGTCTTGGAGTTCAAACTTTACATAGCTCTTTTTTATTTGCAACCTCTAGCCTCTTTTTTTTTTCTTTCTTTCCAAAACACTTGAGCTCTTTGGCTTCTTTTCTTTTTCTTTTACTTAGGGGCTAGACTATTTCTTTTCAAGACACCAGAGCTCACTTTCTTTAACTCAAAACTCCAAGACTCATTTCTTTTTCTTTCATTCCCCTAGCTATTTCCACTTTCTCTTTTCCACTCATCTCACCTTTTTTTCACTCACCAACAAGTCTTTTCCCCCACACTTATTCCTCGCCAACACTCTCAGTTCCTCAATATTGGAACACAGCACTCAGTGAGACCTGCCCTTGTCGCTCTAAACCTAACACTTTCTGCTAAGTTTGATCCAAGGTGGCCTTTCAATTCACACACAAACATTGGCTTGAAAGAAGGATGGGTTCAAGGTGAGGGAACTGATCCATGATGTGGATTCAGCTACTTGAGCTAAGGAAAAAGGGCGGTAAAAACAATGGTTCTAGCTCAAGTATGTATGTTGGTATCCACAAGCTTATTCAAACAATGCATCACAAGATATTTTCAAGTCAAGTTCAGGTTCTCACTTAATTAGAGTTGAGTTCAATTCAAACTTGCTTCTCAGATTCAAATCATTTCAGACTTTGCAAGCACAGAAAAAAGATTCACAAGCATATTCAGTTCAAGTTCTCAAAGTGATGTACTCTCTTAGAAAACCTATCATTACTCCCAGCAAGATGTAACCTATATGATGCAACTAGACTCGATCCTAAAAAATGTGAATGCAACTAGAATGAACATTTTTTTGTGAAAATTTTCTGATTAGATGCAACTAGATGAGACTGAAGACTCAAATTGGAAAATAAGATCAAAGAAAACATGATTAGTAAACACTAAACTCCTCCCCCACACTTAAATAACACAGTCCCCTGTGTTATAAAAGCATAAGAGAGAAGTGAAAGGCAAAAGCAAGAAAAATGCAAAATGAAAAATTAAGAACTAGATGCATATGTACAAAGAGTTTGGAGAGTTACCAGACTTGTTCATGATGGAATGGAGGCATTGGACATGGAGGAGGATGCTGGTGCTTTGAACCCTCTGCTTGGACTCAAGTCTCTCAAGCGTTCCTCCTTGTTCATGCTCGTTCAGGGACCCCTCTGCCTAGCCATGCCGAGGCTTCTACACCGAGGTGGACAAGTTTCTGGGTAAGTGGCAAGGGCACCTCGGTATTAGCTCAGGAACACCTCGGCTTTGGCTCTCCAAGGCTTCTCACAGCACTTGGTTCCGTGAAGATCAAACAAGAGACCTCGGTAATGATCATCTTGAGGTGCTTGGCCGAGGTCTCAGAATCATAAGGCCGCCACCTTTAAGCTCCTCTCTGCACTTTTTCCTTCAAACCATTGAGCAAGAACACTTTCTAGAATCCTGAGATCACTTAGCAAACCCATCAAAACATTCTGAAAGACTAAAGAAGAGATTAAAAAGATATATGTACAAGGATAAGCTTGGGGTGTCTCCCAAGAGCACTTTGTTTAAAGTCACTAAGTTTGACTTTGTAAAACCTTGTCTTAGGTTGGGTGAGGATGAGCACTGATGCTCTTGAGCACTTCTATTGTCTTGAGCATGAATGCCGAGGTCTGGTTCCTTTGAGTACCCTTAGAACCTTGTTCTTTAAGCTCCACCTTGAGACCCTTTTGCATCAGCGCTTGAATACCATCAGGATCCTTGTCAAAGATCGTTTTTGTGAGACCTGTTCTGAGTTCAGCAAATAACCCTGATTTCCCATTGCAATCCAGGTTGTATTTTGTGGATCCATCAGAATCTTTCCAAGGAGTAAGAGTAAAATCTTGAGAAGAAGATTCAAGTTCAAGGCTCTTTTCTTTTGATGCTGAACTTTCACCTTTGTTGTTGATCATCTTTAGCTCACTAAGTGTAGGAGACCATGTGAGGAAGATATCTTCTAATCTGATCAAAGGCTCTCCATTCTCATCCTTATGACCATAGTTGATGTGGGCTTGTTCTCCTTTCTCCACAGCTGAAAGGGATTTAGATTCTCCTAAAACTCCAACACTTCCCACATAATGCATCTCAAGCACCTTGGGCTCTTCTATCTCTTGAGCAGCTGATCCACAAAATTCGGCTAAGGGAGGCTTGACAGGGTAAGAAACGTCCTTATCCACCTTTGTAAGCACCACTCTTTGAGTATCAAAGTCAATCCTTGCACCAGTTGTGTTAAGGAATGAAGTTCCAAGCAAAAGTGGAAGTTCCTTTGTCTTTTTCATCTTCATGACTATGAAATCAGTTGGAACTATGCACTCACCAACCTTCAAAGGATAGTTCTCTATCAGCCCATGAGGTTTCTTTGAGTAAGAATCGCCAAAAGTGATGGAAGAAGGATATTCCTTTAAGTTCTTGATCCCAAGTCTCTCCATCATGCTAAGAGACATCACATTTACACTTGAGCCTGAATCACACAAGGCATTCTCAACTCTGAACTTCCCAAGGGTGCAAGAGATTGTAAATTTCCCTGGATTACCCAGCTTTGGGAGTGATGTAGGCTTCACACTTGGTGAATCTAGGCTTGGAACATCATTCTTTGGCTGTTCCTGAGCAACCGGCTGGTCCTTTGCAATGTCCTCATTGAGATCAGGTAACAAGCTCATGAAGTCCTCTATAATGGCGTCCTCTTCCTCTTTATTAGGACTGGACCCATCAGAGACTTGACCATAAAGAAGGTATTCAATCTCTTGAACAGCAGCTGAATGATCATCACTTGAGTAGATGGCATTGCAATAATCTTTGGGGTTTTGAACAGCTGTACCAGCAAGAGGGATCTGAGTTTCTGAAGTGCAAATGCCTTTGTTCTTTCTAAGAGTCATAAGTTCAGAGCTTAATGTCTCCATCTTAGAAGTCAGGTCAATACACTTGGAATCTAGCTTTTGTTGTCCTTGTAAAATCTGTTGGAGAACAATACCAATATCAGGACCTTGCTGTGGCATAGAACTCTGCTGAAACTGTGGCTGACCGAATCCAAGAGGTGGAGACCTTTGTTGCTGAAAACTGACTTGGTTTGTGAAGCTGTTCCCTTGTGCCTGAACCGCTTGTGGCTGATAAGATTGTTGACCTTGGTACTGATTCTTTTGAACAAAGCCTTGAGGAGGGTACCCTTGAAACTTATTATGGTTCCCAATGAAGTGTAACTCCTCTTGAGCAAGACCAGGTTCATTGACATTAGTAAAACAACTCTTCTCTTCAGCTACATAGTGTATAGGTTGCTGAGTGACCTTTACCAGCTTTGCAAACTTAACTTTCAACTCCTCTAGGGTCTTTTCCAGCTCTTGTTGTTTACTAGAACCTTCTCCTCTATAGCACCGGTCATAGTCTTCCCCATAAGTGTCTTGGCTCATGGCTAGGTTCTCAACAAGTTCCATAGCTGCAGTGATTTCTTTTGCCAAGAAATTCCCATTTGATGCTGTATCTAGCTGAATTCTGATCTTGGGAACGGCTCCTCTATACAAAGTGCTAAGGAGAGAGGCTTCTGAAAAGCCATGATGTGGGCACTGAGTTGTATAGCTCCTAAACCTGTCCCAAGCTTCTCCAAAGGTCTCATCAGAATGCTGAGTGAAGCTTGAAATCTTGGTCCTTAGCCTGGCGGTTCTAGCAGTGGAGAAGAACTTAGATAAGAATGCTAACTTGCATTGTTCCCAAGTTTGTATTGAACCGCTAGGTAGGTTCTTCTCCCATTGGTGTGCCTTGTCTCCTAAACTGAATGGGAACAACCTGAGCTTGAAACTGTCTTCAGATACACCACTGATCTTTGTGAGATCACAAACTCTATCAAAGTGATCCAAATGCTCTAAAGGATCCTCATTTGGCAGCCCATAGAACTTAGAGTTCTGCACCATGTTGAGCATAGAGGCTTTCACTTCAAAACTTGTGTTCTGAACTGGAGGAGCTTGAATGCCGGCCCTGTATTGGTGTGTATTGGCTCGGTCATTGTCTCCTACATAGACCAGTGGAGGCTCTTGACGCCAGGGTGGGTTTGGGAAGGGTTGCGGTTGATTAACCTGAGGCCGGTCTTGGTTCTGATTACCCTGAGCTGGTCCCTGATGGACCTGACCGTGTGGAACGTGATTTCTGTTCCCATTAGCTCCAATACCAACTCCTTGACCGTGAGCAGCTTCTTGAGCCTGGTGCTCAATCCCAACGTGCTGATCCATTCCCAATCTCTCCAAATGAGCAGCTCTTTCGCTTTGTCTTTTAAGTTGTCCTCTTGTGATCATACACCTGAAAACAAAGACAGAACTTGAAAGAGAATCAGTAAAACAAACTAAACTTGATCTCAAAAACTATATCAGAAACTAATGCTAACTAGCCCCACACAATATGGCAACGGCGCCAATTGATAACTAAGAGTTTTGAGGCTCTTAGATGGGTTATCAATCCCCTTGTCAAAGTAGTATAAGGGGTGTCAATCCATATGTGTGGTAGTTAGGCACTAGTTTATAAGATAAGTTCTTAAGTCAAGCTAATCAAAGACAGGTTTGGTGACAAGTAACAAGTGAAAATATAAACAAGAAACAAACAAGTAATGATTAGTGAACTAAACAATTAAGCCAAACAAGATGATGGTGATTAAGCAAATGGTAAAAGCTAAACCTCTAGATGTGATCATTGATTAGGGTGCTGTAGATATCAATTCATGATGCTAAGAACAATAATGCAATGCAAGTTACTCTTTAGTCTAGACTTCAAAAGCAGATTAATTCATTCCCATGACAATAATCTCTTTGTAAATCACTTAATCAAGATTAATTCACCTTAAGCAAGATCAAGCAATCAACAAGCATAAAGTATCAAGTCTAATAATGACCAAACGGTTTCTATTTCAAAGAGACCGAATCTTACACAGAAAGCAGCAACAAGCAATCACATGATCTCAAAAGCAATTAACTTAGAACTCAAATCTAGACTAATCCTCTCATGAAGGCATTAATCTCTACACTAATCCACTTTCAAACCAAATCATCATTTGTGAAATATGAATCAGTGAGCATTAAGAAACAGTTCTAATATGTCATTCATGCATTTAACAAATCATTCCCATGATGAAAAAGGCATAAACCCTTAGCTTAGCTCATTCAGATATTTCATCAAACACCTTGTGGGTGGAGAAATGACTAAGGTTTAGATCAGAGTGATGTGCAAAGATCTAGCATTAAGAGCAGCTAACTAAGGAAAGGAGATGAGAATCTAGAACCTAAACATCATAAACCGATCATCTAAGCACCCTAATCTACACACCTAGAAGCTTAAAGGATAACTACTCACTAATCATGATTAACACACCATTTTTTTTGCAAGAGGTGGTGTTAATCATGATTAGAAGCAGAGATGAGATGATTAGATGATAAGAAACAGCTTTAAGATGATTAAATCTGCTAGTTATCTCTTGATCAAACTCGTTTTTACACTAAGAAGTAGAGAGAAAACAAAGAGAAAGCAGATTAGAGGATAAGATAAAGCATAACTAGGGTTTTAGTCTCTAAAAACTATTTATATAAAAGGGTGTGGGCCGGGTCAGCCCAGGACAAACTGGGTACTGACCCGCCCTTTCTGGGTTGCTGGAACCACCCCTCGCCATCTGAAGAAGTCTCACACCGAGGGCCATACACCAGGGGGTCATGTGCTGGGTTGAAACTTTGATGAACACTTGAAGAACATGCATGAGACTTGGCATTTGATCCGGTTAAAGCTTTGAAACGTGAAGAGGATTTGTTTGTGATCTGGGTTGGAGAGATGAGGACCTCGGCATACATGCCGAGGTGCCTGGTACCCGAGGTTTGTGTAACATAGGAGCTCGGCATAGCATGCTGAAGGGTTCACACCAAGGTCTGCTTCAACACTTAGTCGTTTGGGGATCATTTTGGTGATCAAGGGAGCCTCGGTGTTGAAAGACCGAAGTCCTACCTCGAGGTATAGTCCCAAGGCTTCGTAAACATGCCTCCTAGGCATAACATGCGGAGGTATTCACGCCGAGGTAGGACACAACACTTAGCTTACAGTCGCATCTCTTAAAACCCGAATTGAGCAGCTTCTCTTCTGTTCAGTGTAACTTTCAGCTCGTAACTCCAAATGACCTGAAACCAGTTCCATGAGAAAGATAACTCATTCAGCTCGATCTTTGGTGAAGAAACTATCGGCGCTTG